ACCGAAGCGTAAGCGTAGGTGCAAAAATATATGGTCAGGAGGGACTGTCTAATACACCCTTAAATAATGGGATCAGCGACCCGAAGGGGCGTCCCATTTGGGTTTGAGAGAAGAATCTTATATTTTGCTGAAAACATTTAACCAGGATATATCTGATATATTTTTATGAACGTTTGCGCTGTAAAACACCTCCCGGACATCTTCGTGTCTCCCCACTGTAAATGGTAAATTTTGTTTTACCATCTATAAAATATATTGTGTGAAAAGAAAAAAATCGGACTCTATTAGTTTTTGAAGAACTCTGTAATAAAGAACGGAATAGAGCCGTATTCACGATACATGTTAAATTCATCCGGCAGTTAGCGTTTTATTTTTACTAAAAAAATCGGAGCCAAACATTGTTCATTATAAATTAGATGCACTGTATCATCATCAAGTCCAAATAAAACTAATAGCAATTCAGCAACTACGGTAACAATTTGGGATAGGTTCATGTTTTTTTGCTTTAAAAATAAAAATTATATCGCAAAAATAGAGTTGTTGAAAATAATAATAGATACGTTACCATTTTGAGTAAACTTTACATTATAATCGTTTAACAAGAGTCATTAAAAAGCAACGTCATGGAGTTTGGAAAAAGCTTTCGTTTTGAAGTCTGAAGTAACGATTTAAAAAAAAAGAAATAATGTCCTGAATCGGGAACTTTAAAAAATAAGTATGTTGCTTGTGAGGATTTTTAAAATCGCACTACTGTTCGTTTTCCGACTCGTCATTCGACAAATGAGTAAGATGCTCATTGAACCAACCTCAATCTTTAGCATTGAATGATTCCTTTGAAAGTCTCGTTTTAAAATACCAAATTCTCAATCAAAGAAAATACATATGTAATAATTGATCCGCGTAAAGTAACCTTTTATCAAAAAAAATTTATTTTTTGCCCCTAAACAGAGAATGTTTCTTCTTCTTTTCTTCTTCCTTCTTTAACTCCTCTTCTTCTACAATATAACAAGAGTAATTAATCGAACGGTTTTAAAAAGTTTAGAAATAAAAATAGCTTACCTTCCTTTTCGGCGGCGTCGAAGAGGTCCCTCAAGCTCTGTCTCTCCCTGGCTTTTTCATAATGGGCCACGTAAGGCATGGCGATTGGTCGCGCAGGGGAAACAGAGATGAAGGAGGCCTCAACGACACCGACGGCAGGAACAGAAGACACAGAAGAGACAACAGGAGCAGAAGAGACAACAGGAGCAGAAGAGACAACAGGAGCAGAAGAGAAAACAGGAGCAGAAGAGACCACAGGAGCAGAAGAGACCACAGGCGCAAAAGAGACCACAGGAACAGAAGAGACCACAGGAGCAGAAGCGACCACAGAAGCCGAAGAAACAGCCAAAGACTCCTTGTCCAAAGAAGGACAGCGGGAAACTCGACGACGAGGAGATGTTGGTGGGGAGGGAGGAGGAGTTTTTCGTTTGCCTCCAGAGTTTGAATTCTCACAAAGAGAAGGAAGAACGACAGAAGGAGAACCAACAACAGAGGAGGAGGGAGTACCAGCGCCAACAGAAAGACAAACACCGGCACAACCACCCGAAGAAACAGGACGAGGAACGGCAAGACGGCGAGGAACGGCAAGACGACGAGGAACGGCAAGACGACGACGAACGGCAACAGGACGAGAGACAGCATCCAGAGGATGGACATCAGTATGTCCAGAAACAGGAACAGGTCCAGAACCAGCCACAGGTCCAACATCAACAGCCACTGGCTGGGCCGAAGCCACAGACAAAGCAGCCAAAACAGGAGAAGACTCAACAACAGCCGAAGAAGGCAAAGGCTCGACAAAGGGAGTCAAACTACCCGAAACAAGAGGTGACGACGTGCCACAATCAATCGCTGAGACCTCGGAGCCAAAAACAAACGAGGACGAGGTGGCAACAGCCGAACAACCAGCAACAGAAGGAGCAGGCAAATCCTCCAAACCAAGACAGGAAGCGTTCTCAGCCAGCCAAGACTGGCAAATCACTTCCCCAACAAAGGCAAAGAGAGGAACGGAAGGTTGGTATTGGGGGAGGGGAGGAAAAGAAGGCACCACACCACCACCAACACAAGGCAAGCCACGAGAAAAGGCACAGTCCAGAAAATAACATTTACTTTCGCCTTTTATGGTTGCTGGAGGGCGAGACGCAAAGGAAAATTCCAGGCGTGGCACCTCACGAACAGGGGACAAGACAGCGGGGGGAAAGCAAGCAGGAGCGGAAGCAGAAGCACCAGCAGAAGAACAGCGAGACACGTCAGGCAAGGGCGAAACGGGTACTCGATCTCGCAAGGAGATGGGGTAAAAACCCCGACCAGTACAAAAGTACAATTCCCCGATTGCCTCTGGTGGAGAAGGACGGCTGGGTCGAAGACCTGCTACCTGACGCCAAAGAAAGCCAAAAGACCAAACAATTTTTTTCCACGCGGAAAAAAAACCAAACCTGGCCAAAAACCATGGGAATGCCGAGAAGAATAGGGCGAGATGTGTTAATTCACACATAAGGCTATTGAATGTCAACATTAGGATCAGTTATATATTGAACATGTTAATTGTGATTATTATACTTACTCGTCGAAAAAACGGTGTACTAGCATTTTTTTTTATGACTGGTATAGGGAAGAAAAGAAAAAGAAAAGAAAACAACACGCCCTTGTCTTAAAAAAGTTTTTCCTAAGCCACTAAAAATAGGACTTGTTATATTTTACTAGCCAAAAGAGTGTTACCTAAGACATAAAAATTCTCATTCCGTCAATTAAATAAAACAAAAAGAGATGACCACCTATTAATCGCCATTGCTCGCAATCAACTGCTGCTCCCTTAACCCTCAACATTAAGGGGTAATATTTTTACTATTATATAGGACAGCCGAACGATCTCATTATAACCAGAGAGGCAATTAACACAGCCGCGGACTCGGTAGTAGAATTCTGCGAAGGAGGTAGCTTGGTGTATAAAATACACGGCCATCGGAAAATAATTTTTTTTTTATATTTTTTTTCCTTTACTATTTTTTTTATTTTACAAGCATTGCCAAACAACACAAAGCCAATTAACACAACAGATTGAATGAAATAGTGATCACTCCATTAGATGAATTGTTGAAGAGAACTTCATTACAATAAAACTTGTCTACGCAAAACAGAGAAAGATACGAACAACTTCCAAATCAACTAAAGATCCACCAAGGCGATGATTAACCTTGTCAATATAATTAATGTTGGCCAACAACCTTCAAAATGCTAGCGGAATCGGAATACCCTACGACAACAAAGACTTCATGAAAGTCTGTCATGGAAATGACAGTGAACTTCTTGTATCTGTCACACCTGGAATTCCGAGCAACTGTCACAATATTGTGAGCGTCATATTTCTGCTGCTTCGTCACTTAAACCATAGCCAAGAAATTGTCATTACGTTCTTGCTTGTGTCTAAAGTAGCAGTATTCCTCACCGACAAACGAGAGGGAAATGGATCTAAAGTGTATGCTGTCAGTACCAGTAAAGTATGTCAAATGTTATTTGCTCACTTGTGACCAGTACTTTTGGTAACCTGAAAAAAGACAATATTATTACCTATTGTCTTTAAGATATTGAAGCTTATGTCGAGAATTGAAGTTATCGTTTCATGACGACTTGTAATCACAATGGATGACGAGGTCGATTTTTTGATTTCATCCACAACATTATCATCATAAAAGGATATCAGTGCATCGATCACCTTCAATCTCGGGACACCGAAGCACATATCCTCCCAATTCGATCCAAGCAATGATTGAGGTACAAATGGACATTAGATTTCAGCACCGGAGGAATTCGAACGGTAGGTGTCTGGAAGATCCGTGAATTCCTGGAATTCAATGGACTGCAACCACCTAACCGCCATCTTGTTATAATTAGCCTGGTGACGAAGGTCGTTTCGAGTATTTGCCCCTATACAATGCGTGGACTTGATGAAGTTGGTGAAATTCCGAACCCTCCCCTCCATTGGTTGGTAAGAGTAGCATTTTAATCGCCCCACTTGTTGAATCAAATACGGCAGATGCATAAATAACGGTTATTGGCAGTGAACACTCGAGCATTGATACAGTTTGCAAGAATCTCTTTATTCAAAAACGTATGATATTTTCAAAATCATCTAAATATTTTGGTTAATGTCTAATCTTTAATATCTAGTCTCTGATCGTCTTGTTACCTTTTCATTTTTGCAATGTCCCTACGAGAAATCCGACACTACAAAATAATACATTATCCCTCCGCCAATTCCACTACCGCACATATGGTTTGTTTTCCTGGACCAATAGAAGCACAATAGTAGGGACAATGTATAAGAGAAATCTTCGTAACCGATAGCTCTTACAATACCTACACTGCCATCCCAAGTTCCCTCAGAGCTGATGTTCTGTAAACCCTGCTCTGATTTACCTTTTCTTCAGATTTTTTGATGATAGTGTCATCATGCCCGTTCAAACCAAAGGTGTGCTTCTGTAGTGATGGATTCACGGTACCTTTTGATCTTCTTGGGATCGAAAAGATTGTAGACCAAAGTACCAAGCCCTATAACGATCAAATGAATATCGTCACCAAAAAAAAATATGTACCCGCGAAGGTCGAATAATAGTTAATCCCAGGATCAATACCAACCATATCGAATCCCTAATTCATACTGCGTTTAAAATCTTAAAAATATTGGTGCACACTTTGAATAATTTACCGGATCGCCGTTGTCTAATTCGGGCTTTTGTTCTCATATCACCTGCATCCAAGAAGTGTATACCGTAAGGGTAATCTTTAGGACGTCTGCCAACCACTTTGCAAATTCTGTAACAATATTTGCTTGTGTGTCCACGACGATTCATCAAGTCAGCCATTCCTAGAATATAACAAGTCATTCCGACCAAGAATACTTTACTTTCGTGAACAATTTCATTGTTTTTTCCACGAGGAATCCTCTTGCACACAACGAATTGATTTCCTCGATGATTGGCTTCAATCAATTCATCCAATAATTGGGTATTTTTGGGCCAGGTATAATAGCCAGTGCTATCATCATCGACTTGTTTGCTCTAACAACGAAAAGATAAGTTTGATTAAGATAACATATACAAGTAAATTTAAATCCTAAACATTTTATATCCGGGAATGTTCATCACCATAAAACAGACTAACGTTTGAGAGCCTCCAGGTTTGGATTGGTTGGGAAACCTATCAATCTAAAGACCAAGGCAAATGTCTTTGCGTGTGAGCAAATTTTGACGAAGAAATTCTTTGTACACCGAGCCCGAAAACATGTCAATGAAGATGTCGTCCTCGTCATAATTGCTGAATTGGCTTGCCTACTTGAGGCATTAACGGATTTCGTCGTCGACCAGTAGTTCCGCAAGTGAAGCCCCGACCGAACACATAGCCATGGTTTGAAAGCCTTTTTGGAGGTGAAATGTCGCCAGCACGAGTTGATTCCTCAGCTTCGTTTTGGTGTTTGTATCTACCTTCACCACAAGCAGGGTTGATGCAACGTGATTGATGTACGTTATCATCTAAAAGAAAATATCCTTCGTGACATAGACCATACATTTTCACAGAATGAATGCTGCCTTATCAAGTTATCTATGAATGTCCTCTGGAGATGGAAGTGACCCGCTCAAGTCTAAATTGGAATTAGTATAAGAAGCGTTTGTGAGTCAATATGTAGTTTACCTGCACCAAAACTATAATGTTTCGCTTGATTCGTCCATTGGAACAGATGTTTAGTCAGCTTTTACACATTTACCCCCCCCCCCCAACAAAAAAGAAAAAAAACCGGATTCAGTGCATAATTAAGGGGGTGTATATTTTAAAATTAGCTCTCCCTTTCAGCCTTTAGCCAAACAAATTTTTTTCGCTTATATATATTGGATCATTTAATACATTCATTCGTTTGAAAAAAATTCTTCGCAGTTTTAAAAGTTGATTATATATTTATTAAAAAGAATGAAATTTAGATTTATTTATATCATGATAATTGAGTACAAATTGCTATGTAGACGAATTACTATATAATTGAGCTAAAAAGTAAACTATATATGGCATAACATGAAGGCATTGGTTATTCTGTCTAGGAAGAAACGTATAATATAAAAACAAGGGCGATAACCAAAGTTTTTTAAATGAATATTAGGTTAGTTTAAGATAAGAAGACATAACATTGATACGTACTAATTCCTTTTTGAAACGGAGTAACCGCCACAACGTGAAAACTGGAAGCGTAAGTCTAAAGACATAATTAGCGAAAACAAAAGCCACAAACGAAAAACACTTACTTTTTGAACTGTCCTGATAAACTGTAAGCACGGCCTATATACACCTGTCCATGCTGATTTAAAAGAGGGATAATTAAGGGGACGGACTTCAAAGATGGAAAAATGAGTTTACCAGACTGTAATTGCAAAAGAAGTCAGCCCAGACGTTTATTCAATTACATGGTTTCCAGAAACAAGAACGAATAGAAGCAATTTTTTTTTTAAAAAAAACCAATTTATTGATGTAAAAGGATAAAAAATAGATAATAAAAAAAAGGAAAAAGGAAAAAAAAGAAAGTGTTTATATGTACTTTTTAGTGATTGGTGTAACAATGGAGAGATGATTGGAAACAGATCAAATTTTTTGTTTACGCGGTTTCGTGGCAATAGGACTCATATTGTTATTACTAGAAGTGACACTTCTATGCAGCTTAGTCTGCTCCAAAGCAAACTCACGATCTCTAGTTCTATGGGCTAAAGCTTTCATTTCTCTGGCCATTCTATTTTCTTCCTACTCTTCATCCTCACCCTGGTCACTCTCGTCACTCTCGTCACAGTCTAACGTCTCGATATTGTCACCTTCGTTTGCAGAAACACTCGTATTGATATCTTCTGCTAATTCGTCTTCACTCTCCTTTATTTAATTAGCGATTGTCGTCGAGGTTTCAGGCCGGATCAAATAAAATGTTATATATTAGTTCAATGCCAACTTTACATTTTCAATTGTATTTTTCACCTTCGTCCTAAAAATTGACTTTACATGGTTTCTGACTGCAGCAACCAAAAGGTGTTGAGACCCCCAACGTTTGGAAAAAGCAAAGAGAGGCAGACAGTTATCAGCTCCAAGGTAAGAGAACATATGGTCATCAGCGATCAATGCGAACAATTCCCTTTGTTCAAACCCAATCATCCTCCAAGTAAAACCTGGGGATCGCGTAAACTGAGGAAGGACGTAGACAGTAACGAAATGTTTTATCGCGGTGTATGTCAAATCGTAACGTACCACCCAGCTTAAACCTGATAACTTTTTTGCTCTTTCATAAATCCATTTTTATATCCCAAAAAACATTTTTCTACTAATCGCTGACAGAAAAACGATTGTAACAATGTTTTTAAACAATAATATGCAAACAGTTTACATCTTTACTTATCAAAAAAATTTAGTGATAGCCATCGAACATTATCGGTGTTGAAAAATTTAAGCGGGGGAGTATAGGGGAGGCCCATCATTTAAAACAAACAAAAGAGCATAGGTAAATTTTTAACGCCCGACAACCATTTCAGCCAATAAAACAGCTGGAAATGAATAAAACCGTATCTTTTTTTTAAAAAGCTATGAACTTCATCAGTTTTAATTTTGATAACTTCGCAATAGCTTTAAGTTTTACATGCAATGTTGGCAACCATTTCTTCTGTGAAGAATTTTTAATTTATTTATAAAAAAGTCTATTTACCATCAGAATTGTTAGGGCGCTCACAAATTTTTGTGGGATGCTAAATAGAGTTCCTACAGTTGGAGGGCGTACCCGATGTCGATCTTATTGAAGCTATCAACTTTATCAATACAACTTTTTTTACAGTTTTTATTTCAGATTACAATAATACAAGTATAAAAGAGTAGTTCTTCTGTCATCGATTTTCAATTTATTTATAAAAATGTCTGTTTATTATCAGTCATTAGCGCGCTTATATATTTCTGTGGGGGGCAATAAAGTTCTGACATTTAGAGGGCAAATCAATGTCATTTCTATCCAAGCTATCAACTTTATCAATATAGCTTTTATTTCTGTTTTTATTTCAGATTACAATTATAAAATCATGAAGGATTAACTCTTCTGTCATCGATTCTTAATTCATCAATAAATTAAATTTTTTATAGCGATTTTTTAAAACCAGGCAGTGAGTATATGTACTGGGGTGGAGTAAAGCGGGAGGCTCGCCTCATATGCGATTACATTTTCAAGTCTTTGGATAGCAACATGGATACATTTTTGGATAAGGCAGGAAGAATTGCCCGAATCAGAAGATACTTTCGACGTGCAACTGAATACATTGAAGCCTACAGCAAGTGAAGTGACGGTGCAGACCGTGAAGAAATTCGCGGAAAAAAGTACCTTCCCACAGAAAGGTTAGAATCCTTTCGGACTTAGACCATGAAAAGACTAATTTTTTTATGAATACACATAAATTAGCATTCATTTGACCTTCAATGCTGAACTTTTTTTTTTTTTGCCTAATGTCAAGGGGAGTAGGTTACTCTTGCCAAAAAAAAAAAAAAAAAAAAAAAAAAAAAAAAAAAAAAAAAAAAAATACTCATCACCAACATCGCTATTGCGAAAAAAAAAATTTGAAACAAATTTGAAATTTATCACGTTTAAGCTTGGTGGCACGCTATCGACGTTCCAGTTCGCAGTCATTCATTGAAACAGAACCACCTTCCAATATATTGCGGTGGCTTTTGAAGTAGGTTCTCGAGATTTCAATGACCTGGTTCTTTGCAGAGACACCTAAGGGTTTAGCTTTAACATGTTGGTTGAAACAATTCGGGTTCTGTAACAAAGCCTTTTTCTTCTCCTCAGTGTAGATATTGCTGAATAGGTTTCTTAATTCCGTGTTGCCTTCTTGATCAGTAGAACCAGACATACCTTGGATCTAAATTAGCATTGTATCAGGTATTTCATTCTTTAACATTATCTTAACCGAAACCCCTGAATGACCAGCCATGTGTTTATTCATTTCTTTTAACTCTGTAATCGTTGTTTTTATTTCCATAACTTCATGCTTAAGAAATGGCACTTCAGCTACAAGATGATTGTGACCGAAAGCGGAGCTGGAGGCAGAGTTAAACAGACTATTAAATGGAGAATCTAATCCTTGCGAAACAGAGGTCTGGTAGTTGTAGATGTTGGTATCAAGCATTATTTAAGTGGTCTCCTAAAGAGATGATAAAAAGATGTAGTTAAGAAAAAATTAAAATGTATTTATACTTTCCAATTCAGTAGCCTGTCTCAAATAGGTTAAGATGGAAACCGGTTGTCATCACAAATCCGGCAATTTGACAGGCTAGGCATAATTCTGCATTGTATTTACCGGAAACGTTGCAGTAAAGGATTACTCGTAATCATTGACAGTGATAACGTCTTATAAAATAAAGAGATGTTAAAAGCCTCGTAAGCAATGCACTGGGTTTGTTACTAACTTGCATCGGAATATTTGAGATGGTCATTCGGACAGACAAAAAAAAAGAATCTTGTCGTTTTGGTCCTATAACCATGTCTGGGGCTATCTTGAATTTTGAATTAATTATCCCAGAAAAAAAAATTAATTATTGAAAATTTCAGGTCCTTCGGACACCGAGATATTTACAGGAATACATTAATAAACGGCTTTTTACTGAGGGAATGTCAATAATACTTCAAGTTTTAATAGAGGAAAAATACAGATGGCTAAGGTTTAAAATTATGTAAAAGAGGGATTTTGGCAGGTAGGCCCTTCGTATCTTCCATTGACGCTATGAAATTTACAAGCGCCACACTTGTTTGAGCAACGGCTATACATATTTGCGCCTTTGCAGCCAGAAATTTTACAAACTGCACATGTTCTACGTGCTCGTTGCTGTAAGTTACCTGAAGAAAATGAAATACTTGGATCAATAACAGGTACTGGAAGCAGTGCTCTGAGTGGCATTGGTTGATGTTGCTCTCTGGAGGGAGGTGGCGGAGGTAACGAAGCCACAGTTTCACTTTGAATCATCCTCTGTATAGCTTGATCCGCTGTAATTTGTACATGGGCTGGAATAGAAACAGTGGATCTACTTTCTGAGGTCAAAGCAGACCTTACCAGACGTACTGTATCGATATTCAATATTACAGTATCATAGTACTTTTGTCGATCATCTAATACGTTGTAGTACGATTCAAGATGTCTAGACGTCTTGTAGTATATATTACTTCCTTCCTTACAATAACTTGACCATAATTTAGCAAAGCATACAAAATTTGGTGTTGCTTTTCCAGATGTGAGGCTTATGGAACGTCGCTTTTCAGGGTTTTTCATAAACTCTTCGTATAGCTTAACCTCTTGATCAGTGTGTACCGCAGTGACAGCTAACTTTGTCTTTTGGCAGATTGCTAGAAAGTTGTACACAAAGTCTTTGACAGAGCATCCAATAATGTCAAGCTTCACAACAGGGAGGAGACTGAGTTCGAGCAACTTGGCTTTTGAAAACGTTTGGTTGCTTAAATGGTTGATGGCTGGTAATATATTGTACTCTCGCATTACTTCATTTGGTAATGCTGTAATACCATACGTCTCTTGTGTTTGCTCATATTCAAAAGTACTACCGAGTCTATTCGTAAAGTAGCTGTCAATAGGTGTATGACCCAGCTTGATTCTAATAGTATTGATTGATTGATATAACCAGGGACTGTAATGACCTTTATGCACTTTTCCGTAGCGATTTCTTGAGCCAACCTAAAAATTCATAAATTGTAATTTAGTATAATACGTATTAGGTCAATTGAGCTTATATATAAGTATACTCTGAAATTCTCTTACATCGGTGTTGTGATAAAGACGATAGTCAGCAAGAACCATATCAGCTAAACGAGGACCTGCATTGTACGATGCAAATTTTCTTATGATGTTCATATGTACAGAGCCTTCTACAGAACTAGTACCTCTGCTACACCTATACTTCATCAATCCATTCTTGTCGAACCCCTTTTCTGTATATAATACGGGACCATTTAATACGTCTGAAACGTGACCAAGTCTTATCTCCTCCAAAACATGCTTAGAAGCGCTCCATGCGTCTTCATTGAACAAAGGCTTCCCGCTCAATACGCACTTTGCAGGACCGTAATGCACGAAAAGCATTGAGACAGATTTATACAACTCTTCGGGTGGTGGTATATATCTTCGTACACGCTCCAAAACAAAGTCCGGGTTTTTCACCATATAGCTCTCCCAATCAGTTCCTATTGATTCAAGATATTGGCTCACTAATCTTTTATCACCAAGATCAACAACAAACATAGCATCTCTAAAGCGACGAGAAAACTCTTTGGCCATGCCATGTTTTAAGGAAACACGTATCATTTGCATTACATGAAAAGCATCTTTCAGGATTCTTGATGGTACATGTACATTCCCTGAGTCAAGAGACGTATTCGGATGGATGGTGTCTGACTCTGATGGAATAGGAGATACTTTTGACAAATCTTGCTGCTTCTTAAGGTCGTATTGTTTTTTTGAGGCCGTTCTCAAACAGTGGTTGCTGATTCTTAATACAAAAGGAGGATCACCCAAATCACTTAAAGTTCTTGCTTCAGGATTGCCGTTTTCTTGATGACTTTCAAGAAGCATGGAAAGCACTTGAACATCATCGACCTTTACAAGCCTGGTATCTTTTAGATGAGCTTCAATGGATCCTTCATTATCCTCAATGAATCCATAGGCAGAAGGCATCACTCTTGCGGATGTTTGGTTATAAACTGCAACAAAAGTACCTTTTTGTGACTTTTTCGTAACCTTTTCGTTTACAGCTGGTTCTTCGTTAGCCTTTTCATAAATCTTTAAAGCGACCCAAGCATCTAATGCTGCATAGCTTATTTGCTCACTTGTCAAATCATCTCTTTCCCAGTCACCACAACGAATGATAGATATCTTAGGTAGTTGCAAAGATAAAATGCTTCCACAAAGAACATCAAGTCGGGGACGAGAGTTATTAACTAAGTCGCGGTTGTAGCAAAATGGCCCAAGATCTACGTGGTTTGATACCACAACACCAAATACACGCTTCACTCTTGTACAGTCTGCCTTGATATTTCTCCCTAATTTTACAATCTTGGAACAGCTAAGAACCTTAGATAGCTCACGAGGAAACGTATTCGTATCAAAGTCATGTACACGGAACAAAAAAATTTCATTTTGGTAGCACATCTGCATTAAGGATACTCCACTTGTAGACATCATCCATTCACAATCAAAACCAACAAAAATTTCATTACTATACTCATCAGTATTTCCAAATATTTCGATACAAGCCTCATTGATCTCTACTTCAGATCTTAAAACTCTGATCTTTGAAGTATCTGGCAGGGTAATAATAGGAAGTGAAAGAAAAGGGTTTTGTTGTTGTTGCTGTTGTCCATTTGTACATTTGGGAATAGGTACAACGTCTTTGGTTAAGGATGGCATCACCTGTTTTAAGAATCCTTGGTCTCCAATGACATTATCTGTATAAAAAAGCTCAGGCTCTTTCATATTAAGCTTTTTGTAAGTATCCATCATCTGGAGAAATTGAGGTGCTAGATGGTCCATTTTTTTGCTTTGTGCCAAGACTTGTAAACGGATCTCTTCATGTTCATTTAAAACAGTGTAGAGGCAAGAAAACGTTGAAACCCCATTGATTTTCGCCAAGTGATCAATGATCTTGAAAGAATGATCCCCTTTTAAAACAGTGCCGTCTACAAACGACATAAGTTGATCCATGAAAGGACGAACCTTCGCTATCAAGGAGCTGTATACATAGCTAATGTAATTAGCAGAAGGAACATAACCATTATATTGCATCTTGTCTTTGAATTGAGAAAACTCAGGATATTGTCTTGACTGGAGCATTGATAATACGGAAGGACTTTGGGCATCATGATCGAGGGTTGTGTAGTATTGAAGCTGCAATTCGTCATATTTCTCAGTGTGCATCACGCGAAGGACTTTAGACATACGATGAGGTCCAATCCCATGTTGAAAGAGTGGTCTCATCAGTTTGCAAAGCATTTTAGAAAGGCCAGATCGATGACTAAGGACAGCTGGAAATTCAGCTTGTAAATGAAGTGGAAGTTGTCGGATCAAAGCTGGGTTACACCCATCAAATGTGTGCTTAACACCCTTGTTACGACACTTGTATCTTGTAGTCATCAGGTAAAAACAGCTAAAAATTATTAAACACATTAGAAATGACATAAAAAGAAACTTCTCATTTAAGATCGCACTCATTTAAATCGATAATCCTCCTAGCAATAGGCTTCTTATTGAATCCCTTTACACCTATTTTTGCTTCACAAGTCGGACACTTTAAATCTCTTACTAAATGATGAGGGAACCACAAAAACACTCTAGGTGTATAGAGGTATCCCGGGTCTTTGTTATTACTATCAAGCATAAAGTATGGATTCTTTCGGTGAACCCAAAAAGTGCCATTCTGATACTCTTCTGGTCTTTTCCCCTTCAATCTCTCCTGTAACTCAGCAAGATACTTATTGACGTAGCTTTCTTCAAGGATAGAAGCTGCATCATTGTCAACAGTGATAAATTCGTTTTCGTTTAGTTCTTCTGTATCGCCTTCATCGTCTGTTCCCCACTCATTATCATTTCCCTTATCTTTATCCAACAAATCTGCAGTTTGGATATCGATGTTGGGAAATTCATCAATATTAACTTCGTCTTCGTTCTCATCGTCAACGCTATTTTCAGAAGTTGAAACTTCGGTGGCAACCACCTCTTCCTGGTCGACTAAAGAGGAATGATTTTCTTCAAGCTCAACTGCTACAGAATTACTGAAACTCTCTTCAGGTAAAGATTCATCGACTGTTGTGTCAACATTATTGTCGATGATCTCTTCAACATTCGTTTGTTGGTATTCCTGCTCATTGTGAATAGTGTTCGAAGACTAAAAAAAAAAAAAGATATGAATGACTCATCAGTAAAGCTTATATAAAAATTAAGAACGTCGTCTTACTGCTTTCGCCTGCATTGTGAAATTCAACATTGACGATTGGTTCTTGATTTGCTTTCTCGGTCTTCCGTAAACAACTTCAGGCTTTTTTTCAGTCTTTCCACCTGATGGACGACCACGTTTCTGTTTAAATCTCGGGAAACTTCCTTTCCCTCCTGTTTTTTCGACATCAGAGCTGGGGTTGAGATTATTCATAATGTTCTTTTCAATTGTGTCAGGAGCAATTTGAAACTTCAAAAAAGAGATAAAAAGAAAGAAAATCAGTTTATTTAATCTCAGTTAACTCAAATCAAGTGATTTGATTCGCCCAATACAACTCCGTTAACTCAAGATAGAGGGATTTGATTGGATCAAAGGAGCCCCAGCCGTAAGCGTACAGTCAATTTTGGCCCTATTACCATGTCTGGGGCTATCTTGAATTTTGAATTAATTATCCCAGAAAAAAAATTAATTATTGAAAACCTCGGTGTCCTTCGGACACCGAGATTTTTGCAGGAATACATTAATAAACGGCTTTTTTACTGAGCGAATGTCAATAATACTTCAAGTTTTAATAGAGGAAAAATACAGATGGCTAAAATTTAAAATCATGTAAAAGAGGGATTTTGGCAGGTAGGCCCTTTGTAACTTCCATTGCAGCTCTCAAGTTTACAAATGCCACACTTGTTTGAGCAACGGCTGTGATGTTTGGGATATTAAAAATAGATAAAACAGAATAAAAGAAGAAGTAATAAGAAATGAGTCTCTATTAATCCTTTATTAAAGTTATCGAGAGAAAGTCATCGCAAAAGGGAGGACGCTTTTTATATCAAACATCTGGGAGATTGAGTCTGGTAAGGAATAGGCAGTGGCTTGTCTCTATCTTCTGAAACATGGCAATTAGAATTACATGGTCTTAAGTCAATCAATACTTTCTTATATTGATTGGCCCAAATTATTAAGTGAAAAATTCTCATTAGCTGACAATTCAGTAACAGATTAATGAGAATCAAAAACAACTAATAATAATATAATTCCCAATATATAATCTGTAACAAGATTATACTGGTAATTGTCGTGATCGAGGCTATACTTAATATATGACTCTATCTACACTTCTTAAATCTTCCATTTGATAATCCTAAATATAATTCTTATTGGTACTTTATATTAAATACTGATCATTTACTTTATGTACAGGCTTGATCTTATATCATCCTTCATACAAGTATAAGGCATACATTTAAATAATAACATGAATATGAAAACATATGAAGGTTACATCAGCCACGTTGAGGTGCCACAGCTATCTTTAATAAGAACTACATTTTCCCCTGAATGTTGTGCTACAAGACATACACAGTTTAAGAATGAATGTTATTGTTATTGTTATTGACATCTCATTATGGTCTTTCTATATGGGATCATTACATCCGAGTATTATCTGGATAAATCTACCCACAACCGTCATCAGCCCATCTGTGATCAATGTCTGAAATAATGTGTATATAAAGACCCCCATTTATTTGTTTAATAAAGCTTTAGTTTATTTTTGCAGTTTGATAATTTCACTTTGTTAAATTTTACATTTTATTCTTAATTCACTCTCGAATTTCTCAGTAATATGAGAGTACCACTCGAATATTATAATTTAACCACATTAAAGGTCATTCTATACGATATTTATTGGAGGAAATACGACAACGGCTATGCATATTTGCGCCTTTGCAGCCAGCAATTTTACAAACAGCACATGTTCTACGTGCTCGTTGCTGTAAGTTACCTGAAGAAAATGAAATACTTGGATCAGTAACAGGTACTGGAAGCAGTGTTCTGAGTGACATTGGTTGATGTTGCTCTCTGGAGGGAGGTGGAGGAGGTAATGAAGCCACAGTTTCACTTTGAATTATCCTCTGTAAAGCTTGATCCGCTGTAATTTGTACATGGGCTGGAATAGAAACAGTGGATGTACTTTCTGAGGTCAAAGCAGACCTGACCAGACGTACTGTATTGATATTTAATATTACAGTATCATAGTACTTTTGTCGATCATCTAATACATTGTAGTATGATTCAAGATGTCTAGAAGTCTTGTAATATATATTACTTCCTTCCTTACAATAACTTGACCATAATTTAGCAAAGCATACAAAATGTGGTGTTGCTTTTCCAGATGTGAGGCTTATGGAACATCGCTTTTCAGGGTTTTTTATGAACTCTTCGTATAGCTTAACCTCTTGATCAGTGTGTACCGCAGTGACAGCTAACTTTGTCTTTTGGCAGATTGCTAGAAAGTTGTACACAAAGTCTTTGACAGAGCATCCAATAATGTCAAGCTTCACAACAGGGAGGAGACTGAGTTCGAGCAACTTCGCTTTTGAAAACGTTTGGTTGCTTAAATGGTTGATGGCCGGTAATACATTGTACTCTCGCATTACTTCATTTGGTAATGCTGTAATACCATACGTCTCTTGTGTTTGCTCATATTCAAAAGTACTACCGAGTCTATTTGTAAAGTAGCTGTCAATAGGTGTATGACCCAGCTTGATTCTAATAGTATTGATTGATTGATATAACCAGGGATTGTAATGACCTTTATGCACTTTTCCGTAGAGATTTCTTGAGCCAACCTAAAAATTCATAAATTGTAATTTAGTATAATACGTATTAGGTCAATTGAGCTTATATATAAGTATACTCTGAAATTCTCTTACATCGGTGTTGTGATAAAGACGATAGTCAGCAAGAACCATATCAGCTAAACGAGGACCTTCATTGTACGATGCAAATTTTCTTATGATGTTCATATGTACAGAGCCTTCTACAGAACTAGTACCTCTGCTACACCTATACTTCATCAATCCATTCTTGTCGAACGCCTTTTCTGTATATAATACGGGACCATTTAATACGTCTGAAACGTGACCAAGTCTTATCTCCTCCAAAACATGCTTAGAAGCGCTCCATGCGTCTTCATTGAACAAAGGCTTCCCGCTCAATACGCACTTTGCAGGACCGTAATGCATGAAAAGCATTGAGACAGATTTATACAACTCTTCGGGTGGTGGTATATATTCGTACACGCTCCAAAACAAAGTCCGGCTTTTTCACCATATAGCTCTCCCAATCAGTTCCTATTGATCCAAGATATTGGCTCACTAATCTTTTATCACCAAGATCAACAACAAACATAGCATCTCTAAAGCGACGAGAAACCTCTTTGGCCGTGCCATGTTTTAAGGAAACACGTATCATTTGCATTGCATGAAAAGCATCTTTCAGGATTCTTGATGGTACATGTATATTCCCTGAGTCAAGAGACGTATTCGGATGGATGGTGTCTGACTCTGAGGGAATAGGAGATACTTTTGACAAATCTTGCTGCTTTTTAAGGTCGTATTGTTTTTTTGAGGCCGTTCTCAAACAGTGGTTGCTGATGCCTAATACAAAAGGAACATCACCCAAATCACTTAAAGTTCTTGCTTCAGGATTGCCGTTTTCTTGATGACTTTCAAGAAGCATGGAAAGCACTTGAACATCATCCACCTTTACAAGCCTGGTATCTTTTAGATGAGCTTCAATGAATCCTTTATTATCCTCAATAAATCCATAGGCAGAAGGCATCACTCTTGCGGATGTTTGGTTATAAACTACAACAAAAGTACCTTTTTGTGACTTTTTCGTAACCTTTTCGTTTACAGCTGGTTCTTCGTTAGCCTTTTCAAAAATCTTCAAAGCGACCCAAGCTTCTAATGCTGCATAGCTTATTTTCTCACTTGTCAAATCATCTCTTTCCCAGTCACCACAACGAATGATAGATATCTTAGGTAGTTGCAAAGATAAAATACTTCCACAAAGAACATCAAGTCGGGGACGAGAGTTATTAACTAAGTCACGGTTGTAGCGAAATGGCCCAAGATCTACAGTAGGTGGATTAATCGTCCGGATGTTCTCAGAAAAATGACAAAAAGAACGATATCTAAAGACCCAATTATTCAAATGACAAAAACGTAATATGGTTAAAAAGATACAATTGTACTGTGTAAGAGCATCCCCAGCAGTTGATTAAATTGGCGCTTTTCGTAAATCTAAAAAAAAAAATTTAAAAATTGATTCCCCAGCGGTTGTGTGGTATTTGACAAAATATTACATAGAAAAGTAATGAGATAAAAGTATATTTTTATTAGGGGTAAAAATAGACTAAAAGAACTCTGCTGCTATGAAATAATTGATCCTTTTTATATTGCACAACTCTCCTGAGTTTTAATGATGAGTCAACCTTTCTGGTTTTGGAATAGATCTATAGTTTGTTTCCTGCCTTGGATTAAATGGATACTACTCGTTAGAATTGTTTCCAGATAACGTTGTCCCATATCAGTGGATCGGGAGCATGAGTATGCTAATAAATCTTTAGTATTACGAGACACTTATTTATCAGATCATGCAACGGTTACTGTAAAAGATGCATACTTGTTTGTCACGTGTAATTGGCAATAGAACATAATAGTTGATCATTTATTCATTATCTTTGTAATGAATAAATTACGATCCCAAATATAAAATGTCTTATCGATATTTGTATATTTGGTTGTAGAAGCTAGGTATCCATTAATTCATACACTATTTCTTTAGAGTGCATCTGGACTTCAATATGCCAAAAAAAAATTTTTAAGCAGAGACAAACGTTAAAACTGGACCACCACACTTTCCTCATAATTAAAGTCCAATATTTTTGGACATATATTATTTTAATCATGATTAAAATGAGAATATGAAGTTTTTATTCTAAAAAAAAAAGTGTGTCCGGGATTTTTACAACTGGATTTTAGGTGTGGGGGGAAAAATTGTCACAAGCAGGTTCAAAATTTTAAATTTTTCTTTTCCGACCAATAGTATTGTCCCGCGTATAGTATTTGCCGCCTTCGGACCATGAAATGCTTACTGCCTGTACTCTCAATTTGAGTACCCGCAAGCGTAGTATCGCAGCCTATTAAATCAAAGTCTGAGGACATTTACTGTCAACCCTGTAAGACACAAAAAGGATAAAACAAACTTTATGTACTAAGTAGAAACGCTTCATATTTAAAAGATATAATTTAGAGTATTTTGAAAATAGATCCAACTAGTTGTTTATTTTAATTTATGTATTTGAAGGGTCGTATTCGTTAGATAAAGTACACAGTGCCACAACCCGTTATATCAGAGTCTGAGATCAAATATGATCAATACTGTAAGGCACCAAAAGGATAAAACAAACTTTATGTACTAAGTAGAAACACTTCATATTCAAAAGATATAATTTAGAGTACTTGGAAAATAGATCCAACTAGCTGTTTAATTTAATTTATGTATTTGAAAGGTCATATTCATTAGATAAAGTACTCAGTGCCACAACCCGTTATATCAGAGTCTGAGATCAAATATGATCAATACTGTAAGGCACCAAAAGGATAAAACAAACTTTATGTACTAAGTAGAAACACTTCATATTCAAAAGATATAATTTAGAGTACTTGGAAAATAGATCCAACTAGCTGTTTAATTTAATTTATGTATTTGAAAGGTCATATTCATTAGATAAAGTACTCAGTGCCATAACCTGCTAATTTTAAACTGAGATCAAATATGGTGAAGTGTAAAACACAAAAAAGATGTTTGAGATCGGATATACATTAAGTAAGAACGTCTACTACATGGAAACTTTGTTTACTTCAGTAATATTAGATGTAACGTTCTTTAAAACTAAAAACGCGTCAAAAGGGTTACTGTTTTTGAGCGTATTACTTCACGGGAGCTTTAAAAATGACAAATAGAATTGTGAATTTAAAACTAAGTTTGGGTTTATTTTTGTACCTTGTAATTATTCTTTTAAAATTACTTTTATAAATTTACATATCTATATCAATATTCATTATGGCTAAATCAAGAAAAAGAATCAACATTGGAAGAAAGGCTAAATTCATTCAAATGGAAAAAATTGCTGCTGCTGAGTACATTGCTAATGAAGCAATTGCCAAAGAGGCCGAAATCGCTGACATGCCTCGACCAGAAGAAGTCAACGCAGAAGCTTTCCCCATTTCCTGGAGCAACGCAACCGAAAAAACCGGGGAACAGAAGTTTAAGCGTAAACTTCTCCCTACAAGAGAGACGCTCAGTAGAAAGAGATCTGCTGCAGCCAAGGCAGCTGTAGGCTGTCATTCGATTAATGATTTTTTCCCCGTGGTTCAACAGGTTCCTACACCACCTCAAGTAGAGAAGAAGGAGAAACCCAGAAGACCCGACGAAGCAAGTTTGGTAAAGATTCGCGAGTCTTTGCCCCTTTTGGAATCGAAAATCCGTATCTCTGGTAATACCACCAGCGACCAACACCACAACGGTGTTAAACAATTTCTGAAGTACGTGGTTGTAAAGCATGCTATGTTGCAGCTATTAGACGGTAAACTTTTGTGGAAGCAACGAAGCTTGCGGTAAACATGCACTGGATCCAAGCTTCGAAATCCTATCGTCATCGTGCTGCCAGAAAGTGGTTTGAAGCCTGGCTAAACACTGGTGACATTCCATGTCATCAGCAAGGAAAACATGCGAAGAGAAAATCAATTCTCAGTGATCCTGATGTGAAGGAAAGATGCATCACCTGGCTCAGGAGTCAAGACCCTGTCCGTAGAAGTAACCCTGCTCTTCGTCAGCATATACGACAAGAAGTGCTCCCTGAGTTACTTGAGTTGGAGAATGATGTCGAGGCCGGTGCCGATGTCATTTCCTCTCAGCCAGAGCATCCATTGTCGAACGTAGCTCAGGCAACCTACCTGAAGGCTTGGGGTTTTGACTATAAAACAGGTAAATACAATATGTAAAAACTTAGCATATATACTAATGCTTTAGCTTGATTATATTTTTGGGCATATGTGTGTAGGAAAGGATCGAACATACTTTGATGGCCATGAGCGGGATGATGTTGTCAGATATCGAATTAAGTGGGCCCAACAAATGATGGAATGGCATAAGCGTATGGAAACCTATCCCTTGGATAATGAGAATGCTGATCCAGTTCAACCTAGCCTAAAGGATAATGAAAAAAAGATGGTTTTAGTTACTCACGACGAATCAATCTTTTATTCAAATGATTGTAAAGTCACTCGTTGGTGTGAGAAGAACGAAACCATGATTCTTCCTAAAGGTCAAGGAAGATCTATTATGATCAGTTCATTCATGTGTCCCTGCCACGGAACAATGAGAGGTACCGTCAATGGTGCCAATTTGATATCAAGAGTCATCTTCTTCCCTGGCAACAGTAACGGCGATGGTTATTGGACAAACAGAGATCTGACGTGTCAATTATATGATGTAATTCATCTTTTCAATGAATTACATCCTAATTGTGTTGGTATCTTTGCCTTTGACCAGAGCTCGAACCATAAAGCCTTTGCGGACGATGCTCTTGTTGCCTCGAGGATGACTTCCGGGACTAGCGAAGTAAAGTCTTCTACCCTGTATAGGTTTCGGGATACCACTTATGTAGATAGAAACGGCATCATCAAGCCTCAAAGTATGTATACCATGGAATCTATGAACGTGGATGCCGCCATGAAGGAGATAAACAGACGGCGTGCCAAAGGACAGGCGTTTGATACCAATGCACTTGTCGAAAAGTACCAACACGCACAAGTAAATTTAATAATATAACATTAATATATAAAGAACTGACATCTTTATTATCATTATCTCTGTAGAAACGTGAGAAGTTCAAGGGAACTCTCCGTCTGTTGAGAGAACGTGGCTTGCTCGGCAGAAATGAGCCTCTGAGAAGGGTTTGTGTGAGAGGTACTCCACACGACCCTCAGGCTAAACCTGGCTGTTGTGCCGAATACTTGTTGTCACAGCAACCTGATTTCAAGGCCCAGAAGAATATGCTGGAGACCCAAACATCCAAGGCTGGTCACCTTTTTACCCTATACCCTAAGTACCATTGTGAGTGCAATTGGATTGAAAGACATTGGGGTGCAGCTAAACGATTTGCACGAATAGAATGTGATTACTCGTTTGACACTCTGAAGTCAAGAATCGAAGAGTTTCTTGACCATGATGAGGCTGTTTTTGGTCCTAAAATCAATAGACGATATTATAATCGTGCCTATAGATATATTGACGCTTACAGCAAGGGTAACGATGTCTTGGAAGCTGAAGATATTATCAGTAAGTTTTCCAAAGAATATCGATCCCACAGACGTGCTGTTTAGTTGCTCCTTGATGACTTTCAATCTAAAAAAAAAAAAAAAAAAAAAAAAAACAATTTAGACTCCCCCCAAATAAAATATATTTCCCTGAAAAATTTTCTTAAAAAAAAAAAAAAATTCTCCCCACATTAAAAAAATCTGGCTATAAATAAATTTCCTTTTATATTACTTGTACTAGTCGGAGATGAATGCTCAAAAATGTCACAGATTACGTTTTGGTATATTACAATGAAGATGCACTCTATACTCTTTATCAGCAGTATAACTATATCAATATATAAGTAAATGAACCATTTATATTAATAGCTGTTCTATTCTCTCTCTGGGTAGCTAATCCATTGAGAGAACTATTAATATTAAGTTTCTCTTTCTTATAATTCTTGATTGATCTGAGAAGTTTCTCTTCTCGATCGGTGATATCGTAACTCAGTGGTATAGCATTCTGTATCCAACTGTCATTCGTATATCGTATTTAGGCCAATCATGCAATCTTTTATATAGAAGTATGTGCTCGAAGTAGGAGAAGTTGTATAGCAGTATACAAGCGTATGCTGATATGCAACATCAAAGGTTGTTTTAATTTCATAGTTTATTTATTTAAACGATTTGCTTAATTATTCTTTAAGTGAATCGTACCCAAATACGACAGGTTGATTAAAATTTGAAGTAAATTTACATAAACTTTATTTTTTATCTCAAATTGCACAGATCTACGAAATTACACATTTTTTTTAAAAATTTTTAACTTCTCGATTTTTTTTTTCTTTCTTGATATTTTTCCAATAAACAATGACTAAAACGCAACAAGACCCTAAAGCTGACAAGCGTACTCGTGGGTTTAATTATACCGAGGAAGAGGACGTTCAGTTGTGCCATTCGTGGTCCTCAATGAGTAACGATCCTATTAAGGGTAATGACCAAACTGACCCTGACTTTTGGCAAAACATTGCCGATGACTTCGACATTAATTATGTCAAGAGGTATAAAACGCCTCCCAGGGAAAGGTGTTGGTCGTCTCACCGTGTTCGGTTCACGGCCATTGCGAAGTCCGTTAGCAAGTTTAGTGGTTTTCTCCAAACTTGTATGAACGGTCCCTCTCCCAGTGGCTCAGGTCCCGAGGACATGGTATACATTAATACTCAAAATCGTTTAAAACACATAAAAACTTACATAATATTTATGGAAATAAAAGATACATAGAGCCATGGAGATGTATAGAGCCGACCCAAGCGAAAAGAAAGGTTTCCAATTCTTGCATTTGTACAAGATTCTTGAAAGTTGTGAAAAATGGAAAAGCAGACTTGAAATCGCTGAAGTAAGAGCCAAAGGCAAGGGAAAGAAAGCGGCATTGAGCCTTTCAGCTGAGGATACTTCGGACGAGGTACGTCCTATGGGACGTAAGAAGGCGAAGCTCGAAGAGCAAAACAACAAGGAAGATGTCAAGGAATTGGCATTATTCTACAATGCCTACATCGAAATCACCAAGGAGAAGATGGCATTTGCCAAGGAGAAATTGCTCTACACCAAGTCTCAAGAAAAACGAAAGATTGAGAAGGATATCTTGATGACGGATACCACTGTCATCAGTTATGGAAGATACAGAAGATACGTTGAGAATAAACAACGTATCATCATGGATCGTATCATGGCGGAGGAGGAGGCGGAGGAAGAGGAGGCCCGTAAACGCTCCTTGGCAAAGAATGTGGAAGAGGATGACAATTCTTTGTATGATCCTGATCAACCATCTTTGATCACCGATGATGATGATCAACAATCTT